GAACACATGGCTCAACTTCTGCACATCGCTTTGCGAACCGAAGAAAGTTTGTTCGTTAAGTGAAGCCAGTTCTTCGCGCGGTATCACAACCACATTCACAAAGATCTTATCCAGCGGTCGCCTATTCGGTTTTACACACATCCCCTTGCCAATCTGTACTTTAGCACTTACGTAGCGCTTCTTCAGCATCGCAGCTAACCTCTTCACACCATCGGGTAACGATACCGGCGTTGCGCTTGTCCGCGGCGTCGATGAGCACGACGATTCAGGATCATCAGCTTGGCAATCCACCGAGGCAGGGGAATGATGAGCCTGGGAAGAGGAACAGTTACACGACCTTGGTTCTTCGTCGGGAGATAGCCCATGGCTGGATGTCCGACTCGAAGCAATATTTCCTTTGTTCTCCTCCATTTCACTGAGGTCAATCGAGTGACTAGAGAAAGGCAGCGAGCACACGACAGTCGCAAAGCCCCTAGCCCAGCAAACTCAAATAGTTTGCGGGCCAGGGAAGATTTCTGTTTCGGCTGAACACAGAATCACAGTAAGGATAGATCCATGGCGCAATGTGCGACTAGTTCTCTGTTTTTCTTGGGTCATTTCCTGAACAATGACTTGACTGTTCTAATGTTTTGGTCACACTCACAGCCCTTCCAGTACTTGCCTGCTTGTCGTAGTACCTAAGTCCTTTTGTTGAAGTAACTTAGTTTGGTCGGGTTGAGCCGAGCGCCTTGGTGGACGTACTCACGTAGACCATGCACGTAGTCTTGTGTTGTAGACTGTAGACATACCGCTAGTCTAGTACTATGTCTATGTAGACTGTCCCTCTGCTGCTGCCGTGCTGGGTTTTACGTGCAAATCTATGACAATCATGTCGAACACCATGTCGTCATGGTCCAGGCGCTCATACTAGGCACTGCCAATGCCATTGCCGGGCATTGGCAATGGCAATGACTACTGCCACTTGTAGTACTAGTACTCTGTCCCCGGGGGAAATTGCGGAAAAAAATCGCAAAAAACGCGGGGAAAAACGCGGCATAATATGGCATAATTTGCGGTGAATTTGCGGTAAATATGCGGTAAATATGCGGTGAATAATATTGATGTGCGGCAATTTTCAGTGAGTATGTAGTGAAATCAATCAGTTACAAGTCTCTAGTGTAAGCACTCGTCATATTTTGAGTAAAAAGCCGCCACGATGAGACGTTGCTGACCGAACAGTGCACTGTGTGTACGTGTAGTGCAACAAAAAAGTTCAAAAAACGCGGGAAAATCGCGGAAAACGCGGTCTTTTAAAAAATCGCAAAAAACGCGGAAAAAAACGCGGCCGCGGAATCGCAATTTTCCCCGGGGACAGAGTACTAGGCAGTCTGTCTGCATACTGTCCGTTCTGTGGCGAGCTGTCTTTACTGCGCTGCCTCGGTCTGGCCTAGCATCTGAGCATAGGGTCCAGCGGATTCTGCCGGCAGAAAAATTGGCAGAATTCGGTACTTTTTCTTGTAAGTTTCATGCATGTTTGGTATGTGGATAAAGAAATGGAGCAGAATTCGAGGAATTGCCCGCCATAAGGTTTGTATGGTTCTGCCAATTATTTTACTGCTTTTCGAGCAGAATCCGCCGGTCCCTATGCCTAGCCTAGCGCCTCCCTACCTGGAGGCTGTACCTGTACTACTGGTCTCGCGAGCTCGGTCTCTTGGCCTCGGGTCCAGTCCAGGCAGTGGCAGTACTACTAGTAGCCGCGTACCGCCCTACCATGCCTACTCTACTGACTATGCTTCCCAAGTGGTTGTCTGCATCGCAGTCGTGCATACAATACAATCATGTAGACTATACAATGGTATGGAGCGCGCGTCCCCGAGACGATACGGCTGTCTGCTAAATTAGTCTGGGAGTGGATTGCTGAGCTGAGCTGTAATAGTAACACTTGGCGTGGTGTTTGAATGAAGCGCATTTTGTCGCCTGTGGCTGTGCTCCACCAACAACTGCCACTAACTTGCTGTGGCATGCGTCTAGGGGCGCGTTCGATTTGTCACTCTTCGACTTTTCGAGGAGTTTCGTTTTTCTGAAGAGGTGGCCTTATTGGCCTCTTCAGAAAAACGAAGCTCCTCGAAACTCCACAACCTCATCCGATGGGAGACTCCGAGACGGTGGATTAGTTTCGAAGAGTTTGGAATAGCTACGTCAAGTAGTACGTGGAGATGGTCGATCTGATCGGACGTCATCATCGCCATGACATTTCCACTGACATACTCTAAAATGATAGAAACCGTTCTAATGGGACACTTCAACTAATCTCTTTATAAAATTTATTTGAACCGTTGATGAAGACAATACGAACGCGCCGTAAGCCATGCCATGGTTACATGGAAACCCGACATACATGTAGACTGCAGAGATAGTCTAGACTGCCCCAATGCTGGGTTTTACGTGTATCTATGTGAAGATCTACCGACACCATGTGACATGTCATCATGGTCCAGGCACTGCCACTACCATTGTACCAATGACTACTGCCACTAGGCAGTCTGTCTGCACACTGTCCGTTCTGTGACGAGCTGTCTTTACTTTGCTGCCAATGGCAATGCCATGGTCTCGCCACTCGGTCTGAAAATCCTGGACTCGGTCTTGGTGACTCGGGTCCAGTCCTGGCAGTGGCAGTAACCGCGTACCGCCCTACCATGACTTCTCTACTGACTATGCTTCCCGACTCAAGTGGTTACGGTCTAGTACAAATCAATACATCGCAGTGCCAGTACTAGTGCATACAGTCATGTACTAGTAGTAGTACTACTAGTACATGGTGTGGAGCGTCTCCGAGAGTCCCGCGCCGAGATGATACGGCTGTCTGCTCTGGGAGTGGATAGCTCATCTGTGCTGGAGTACTTCGCGGCGTGGTGTTTGAATGAAGCGCATTTTGTCTCCTGTGGCTGTGCTCCACCAACAACTGCCACTAACTTGCTGTGGCATGCGTCTAGGGCATGACATGGTTACATGCATACCAGCGTTAGTGTGTTTACACCTTTAGCTCTGCGCTCGCGGGTCGCAGTCTGCATCGTGAACATACATTTTTCTAGGAAGAAAAGGAGCAGAGAACTACAAGTACGAGTTAGGCTACAAAAATAATAATGTCCACGAAACCCGCGGCCAGTTACATGTACTTGGCAATCAGCTCATGCGATAAAATTGCACGACACTGGCCAACGGTACTGACGTTCTACAACTAACTGCCAATCAGGTTTAGTACGTCTTGGATGCTCACTCCAACAGCCTTCCAAATTGGAAGGTTCTAAGCTATAGAAAATTACATAAGGAGGGGAAGGTGAGCTCAACCAAAGCAAGCAAAGTAGCTGAAAGTCTCAGCTGTGAAGATAGCTGGCGGATGTATGACGAAGACGATACTGGCTAGACCGTTTGGTGCAGTCAAACCAGGATTCAAGAACACACAGAAGCATACCACACAACGTGTGCACCAGCTAACACCACCACCGAAGCCAATCCCCCTACTGCCCGGGACACCTACATATACCCCCCCCCCCCTCCCCCAGCCAACCAACTGCAGCAGGAGGTCAAAATGTGCAACTACAGGTCCAAGGGAACCTGCCCACTAAAATGGTTACGAATACAGTCTGTAAGACACTGTGGAGATTGCTTATACCGACATAACCTCACCTCTCGGGACTTCTAAAGTGTACGTATTGCCCGTCTAGTGACTCTATGCATGATATTAGGAAAGTACTAAAATTAATGCTATTAAAGTGACTTTCTATGTGAAGTCAGTTACACTGGAGGATGTACCCAGTCACGGTGCTGACAGTGCTCAACACCACGGCGGAGTATGCACCCAGTCACGGTGCTGACAGTGCTCAACACCACGGCGGAGTATGTACCCAGTCACGGTGCTGACAGTGCTCAACACCACGGCGGAGTATGTACCCAGTCACGGTGCTGACAGTGCTCAACACCACGGCGGAGTATGTACCCAGTCACGGTGCTGACAGTGCTCAACACCACGGCGGAGTATGTACCCAGTCACGGTGCTGACAGTGCTCAACACCACGGCGGAGTATGTACCCAGTCACGGTGCTGACAGTGCTCAACACCACGGCGGAGTATGCACCCAGTCACGGTGCTGACAGTGCTCAACACCACGGCGGAGTATGTACCCAGTCACGGTGCTGACCAGGGAGTCGTATAGACCCGGGAGGCGACACGAGGCCTTCCGGGCCGACTATGATTGACTCGCGGCACTTTCTCCCACTTTTCCCTCAGATATCCCCGGTGCGTGCCCTGAGTTATAAACCAACTACTCCGCGTACTTGTGCCATGGGATTTTGGGAGTGCACTCCTTGGGGAACGGACTCGTGCAGGATCGATAGGATCGTGGGAAATCGTAGCTCGAAAAGAAGAAGAAGAATGAACTACTTTTCCAAGTAATTAGTTGCATTTGATGATCGTGATTGAGGCAGAGAGTGCTGCTGATCGCGATCCAGATCCGGGTCAAGAATCACCTCCTGATCCTCAGGAAACCTCAGCTGACGTAGATGTACGTTCTCTTCGCGTGAACGCTCAGTCTGTATTGGCTTGGGCCACAGGTACGAGGTTTGAATTCTAATTTTCTATGTTATTATATTTTTCAATTTGTCTTGAAACTTTCAACCTTGCTACTTAGCGGCTTCTGATCTGGTGCGCGTACTGCATAAAAAGTTGCGAATAATCATGAATTGGAAGAAATACTTGTGGGTTGATAGAGTGCAGTACTCTTGTTCAATGGTTTCTACAGAGCGTTCCGAATCCCAGCCGCTAAAGACCCACAGAAGGCAAGAAGCTTGCGTTGCAAAGCTGCTGTCCCGCCTGACTGCGGAGAAAGACGACTCGTTTATGGTTGTTCTACAGCCGCTGCTGACGTCCATCAGCTCTGTCCTGCTCCCAGCAGCAGATAGGCCTGGATTTCAATGAGTCGTGTCCCAACTCCGGTGTGAACGATTTCCCGACGTCAAGACGAAGGGGTCAAGTCATGGGTGTTGCAAGGAAGCTGTCACAAGATGATCCGGTATTGAACGGTAGGTTTTGTAAAGCTGCTCTAACATTTGGATCCTATAAATTATAACATTAAATTATTATTTGTATTCACGAAGCCATGCCCAAGACGTGCGACATAGCGTGTGTTCGTGTGTATGTGTGTGCGTGCGTGTGTATATTGTGTGCGTGTGTGCGCGCTTGTGTATGTCGTAAAATCCTGCCAGAGCACCCCTACCTCCGGAACCATTCGAGTAGATCCATTTGGGGAGGGGCGGATGGGCGAGTCCTGCTTGCCGCATTCAGTACTACATGAAAAAGTACTCACCCTAAGAAAACTGTGCGTGCGTCTCGTACACCCAACAAAAGTCAAGAGCTGGGAGTCGTACACACCCATCAAAACCCTAGGGTGTGTGCGATCTCTGGTCAAGAGGGTGGGAACTGTTGCGTACATTTCCAACCAGGTCGTAGACGCGTCTGCAGTGCAGTACGACCTCACACTTCACATAGTCATACGAGGATACAACTCTATTGATAGATAAGGTAACGTGCTTGTAGATCTCTGCCATGCCAAAGTTGCATTCAGTAGAGGTAGTAGTCTCTGTCAAACGTGTTTGCCATTGGCTCACGGCACTTGTAGCAGCTGATCGGACGATGCAAATGGACTCCCAGTCCACATTAGCTGGTTTTTGATATGCCTTCGAAAATATACCATGGCACGCACTTTCCACTGTTGTTACATAGGGCCGGACGTGTGTTGTCCTGAGCTTGCCACGATACTTTCCGATCTGTCCATCTCCTCTCTTGGTTATGTTGAAATGATTTGAAGAGCTGATGGCTGGTAACTTGCTGGTCAGCTGGTAGGAATACGTTTGCAAGTGTTGCTGCTGATTTGTACATTAAATTGCCGGAGTGACGTGGCCTTGAGTAGTCTTCCCCAGCAATGAACTGAAGAGTAGCATGCGTATTGAATTCTCTTGTTGCCGGTTCATCGGCCCCTCTCCATGACACCGGACTAGACTGAATTACTGGCGTCCCTTCATCGGCCTGCTTTTCGCCTCGAACTTCTCGAGTCTTGAAATCTGGACCCAACATAATAAAAGTGGGACTCAATTGCCCAGTTCAGACGATAAATTGATGCAATAAGGGGTCATCGCAAAAGTGATTAGTCATCCCTGAAAAAAACATCATTCATTTCGTACTCGGACCTCCTCTCCACCCTCCGAAATGAATGGACGACGAAAATCGCATGCATGTACATGTGTATGCATAGCGTCAGTCGACTGAGATTTTAGCTCCCCCCCCCCCCCCCCCTGGAACGATCTTCGTTTCAGGGACGACCAAAAACTTGTGTGACCACTGACTTTCTTTCTCTGTTATCAAGCAGTATGCATTATTTGTAACAGTAATAATACTTGTCTGTGTCATGTGGATGCATTGTCTTATTTCCTTTTTCAGGCTACAGCACAACCAAGAGAACGAAATGTACGTCGCAATCAAGCTATGTCGTTGCCATCTTCTATGTGCCATGCGTTACCTGATGTGCCAGCCTGCTATGTCGGATACCGCTAACCATGCATCGACTAGGCGCCAGGCGCGAACTGATGGTGGTGGTGGTGGTGGTGGTGGTGAGAAGGAGAGCTCTGTGCCAGAATAACTTTGCAGTTTAGAGAGCGTGTCTGGGCAGGCGTGTATTTACCCCCATATTGCCAGGTGTGTATTTACCACCATATGAACCAACCATAAGTGCAGTTGCAGTGGAGTCTTCAACTTCATTCTCCCGAGTCAAGCTCGTTGTGAAGGCATCTATGAAGAAGATTGCCTGATGAGTCCAGCCGGGACGAAAGGTACGTCGCAATCAAGCTATGTTGTTGCTGTGTCATCTGCTATGCGCCATACGCTACCTGATGTACCAGCCTGCTATGTCGGACACCACTCACCCTGCATCGACTAGGCGCCAGACGCGAACTGATGATGGTGGTGGTGGCGGGAAGGAGAGCTCTGTGCCAGAATAACTTTTCAGTTTAGAGAGCGTGTGTAGGCAGGTGTGTATTTACCGCCGTATGAATCAACCACAGTACGATCAGCTGACGTTATAACTTATAAGGATGATCTCGTGCAGCGATATTATTGATATTTTTTAAGTCTTTTCTAAGGACTCTCCACTGCAGCGTTTTCTTTCCACTCGGTTCTCTTCTTTTCATCGCTCAGCTTGCACTTGCAATGCTTATACATACTGATCAATCCCGTTCAATTTTCCGTACATTTTTCTCAAAAGCCATAACGCGGACGAAGTAGTGATTTTCCGTACAAATATGGAAAATACGGAAGGTTGATAGCACTGTGTTGAGGCAGCTATTGTTGACTTTATTTGGAATTAATTCTGTTGTATTTGCACACATTCCTGAGTGCATTGTATTACTATTAGCATCCAATGTGTGTTATCTGTGCGAGCTTCTAACCTTGTGAACATTCACCGAAGGTTCGGTTGGTGGCGCACAAGATCTTCCGGGATGGCTCTTGCGGGCTCTCAGCCCTGCGTTCACTGCATAAAACTTGGCAGAACAGTTCAAGTTTCAATTTAGGCCATTTCCTCACTCTGTGACTCCCAATATTTCACATGTGCAATGATTATAAGTATTGTAGATCACTGGGACAGCGCCACTTTGTTAGCCGATGTTAGTCCTGAAGAAAAATTGACTTCATTGCCCTAAAGGTGAGAACAAATTGGGACTATTTGTGAAGGAAAACTTTGGAAAATGTAATTTCGAATAAAAGTCATTTCGTTTATCTGGATAGGTCCAATATTTCACAAATGTGCAATATAAGTATTGTAGATCACTGAGACAGGGCAACTTGGTCTGTCGAAGTTAGTCACGAGGAAAAAATTACTTCATTGCCCTAAAGGTGAAAACAAATTGGGACTATTTGTGAAGGAAAACTTTGGAAAATGTAATTTCGAATATAAGTCATTTCGTTTATCTGGATAGGTCCAATATTTCACAAATGTGCAATATAAGTATTGTAGATCACTGGGACAGGGCAACTTGGTCTGTCGAAGTTAGTCACGAGGAAAAAAAATACTTCATTGCCCTAAAGGTGAGAAAATATTGAGGCAATTTGTAAAGAAAGGATTACCTCATCTTAGGAGGTGGTCAAAGTGCCTCAGAGTTCGAGTGGCAGTGCAAAGCCAGTGAGTAAGCCAGTGAACAAGACCCATTATTAGTGAACTCCTCAGCGATGGCCACAGATGGCTGTATTTCGGCAATGGAGATCGAAAGTCTGACCACAATTGTTCGGCGCCTCCCGGGTCTATACGACTCCCTGGTAGTACCAATGCCATGGCAATGACTACTGTCACCATGGTCACTGTACTACATGTGTATGTATGCTATGCAGTGTGTCTACATGCTGTCCGTTCTGGGGGCCGCGCCGGCAAGCTGTCTTTACTTCGCTGCCTCGATCTCCCCTCGCCTCGGTCTCCTCCTGGACTCGGTCTTGGTGACTCGGATCCAGTCCTGGCAGTAACTGCGTACCGCCCTACCATGTGCATGCCTACTCCAATGACTGTGCTTCCCAAGTAAAGTGGTTGTCTACATCGCAGTACTTCATGCAGTGATGTACATGGTGTCACGTGTGGAGCGTCCCCGGCCGAGACGATACGGCTGTCTGCTTTGGCGTGGATAGGTGATCTGAGTGTTTGAATGAAGCGCATTTTGTCTCCTGTGGCTGTGCTCCACCAACAACTGTTACTTCCACTAACTATTATTCGCCGTGGCATGCGTCTACTACTACTAGTGTAGGCCATGACATGGCTACATGTAATTATTTGATAATGACCACGTTAGTGTGTTTTCACCTCCAGCTCTATGCTTGCAGTCTGCATCATGAACATACAGTAACTGTTTTTAGGAAGGAAAAAGGACCAATGAACTGCAAGGCAGGCTATAATTTAGTACAAAATAATGTCCACAAACACCACCCGGTTTTCATGTACTTGGTAATCAGCTTTAATATTCCATAAAATTGCACGACGCTGACCAACGGTACTGACGTTCTACAACTAACTTCCAATCAGCTCTGGCACTTCTTGGATGCGCACTCCAACAGCCTTCCAACTTGGAAGGTTCTAAGCTATAGAAGTAACATAAGGAGGGGAAGGCGAGCTCAACCAAGGCAAGCACGAGCTGAAAGTCTCAGCTGTGAAGAAAGTTGGCGGATGTATGACGAAGACGATACTGGCTAGACCATTGAACAATACAGTCAAACCACGATTCAAGGACACACAGAAACATACCACACAACGTGTGCACCAGCTAACACCACCACCGAAGCCAATCCTCCTACTGCCCCGGACACCGATATATACCCCCCCCCCCCCCCCCCCCAGCCAACCAACTGCAGCAGGAGGTCAAACTGTGCAACTACAGGTCCAAGGGAACCTGCCCACTAAAATGGTTACGAATACAGTCTGTAAGACACTGTTGAGATTGCTTATACCGACATAACCTCACCTCTCGGGACATCTAAAGTGGACACTACGTATTGCCCGTCTACGCATGATATTAGGAAAGTGCTAAAATAAATGCTATTAAAGTGACTTTCTATGTGAAGTCAGTTACACTGGAGTATGTACCCAGTCACTGTGCTGACAGTGCTCAACACCACGGCGGAGTATGTACCCAGTCACGGTGCTGACAGTGCTCAACACCACGGCGGAGTATGTACCCAGTCACGGTGCTGACAGTGCTCAACACCACGGCGGAGTATGTACCCAGTCACGATGCTGACAGTGCTCAACACCACGGCGGAATATGTACCCAGTCACGGTGCTGACAGTGCTCAACACCACGGCGGAGTATGTACCCAGTCACGGTGCTGACAGTGCTCAACACCACGGCGGAGTATGTACCCAGTCACGGTGCTGACAGTGCTCAACACCACGGCGGAGTATGTACCCAGTCACGGTGCTGACAGTGCTCAACACCACGGCGGAGTATGTACCCAGTCACGGTGCTGACAGTGCTCAACACCACGGCGGAGTATGTACCCAGTCACGATGCTGACAGTGCTCAACACCACGGCGGAGTATGTACCCAGTCACGGTGCTGACAGTGCTCAACACCACGGCGGAGTATGTACCCAGTCACTGTGCTGACAGTGCTCAACACCACGGCGGAGTATGTACCCAGTCACGGTGCTGACAGTGCTCAACACCACGGCGGAGTATGTACCCAGTCACGATGCTGACAGTGCTCAACACCACGGCGGAGTATGTACCCAGTCACGGTGCTGACAGTGCTCAACACCACGGCGGAGTATGTACCCAGTCACGATGCTGACAGTGCTCAACACCACGGCGGAGTATGTACCCAGTCACGGTGCTGACAGTGCTCAACACCACGGCGGTGTATGTACCCAGTCACTGTGCTGACAGTGCTCAACACCACGGCGGAGTATGTACCCAGTCACGATGCTGACAGTGCTCAACACCACGGCGGAGTATGTACCCAGTCACGGTGCTGACAGTGCTCAACACCACGGCGGAGTATGTACCCAGTCACGGTGCTGACAGTGCTCAACACCACGGCGGAGTATGTACCCAGTCACGATGCTGACAGTGCTCAACACCACGGCGGAGTATGTACCCAGTCACGGTGCTGACAGTGCTCAACACCACGGCGGAGTATGTACCCAGTCACGGTGCTGACAGTGCTCAACACCACGGCGGAGTATGTACCCAGTCACGGTGCTGACAGTGCTCAACACCACGGCGGAGACAGAGCGTGATACACAGCACAGCAAAGGCAAGCAAGGCTAGTTAACTGTTTGTCGCTACCCTTGCCATTATTCACTGATATGTGACTTTGAATAAATCATGGATTTCTTGAGTAGATATAAACTAGTCTTGCTTGGTCTTGTTGTTCTGTGAAGTCAGTATTAAGTAAACAGAAATCTATCGTCTCAATCGGTCGTTTTGCATAATCTCGCTACAGTACGTGTGCAATGTCACACAAACTGACAAAGCACCTGCCACTCGGCTCCTGATATAACGAACACCATTGTGCAGAAGAATTCGTTATTTATAGCGGAAGTTCGTTGTAACAGAATACACTCACACCAATGCCCATACAAGCAGCAAGTCATGACTGGCATGTTGCCCATGACAAGTACATGTGCAGTGAAACCTGTCTAACACGACCGTTCAAGGGACCTTCGAAATGTGGTCTCTGTCACCACTTTGTCGCCTTATCCAGGTTTAATCTACTGGAAATAGCATGTCTTTGTCCTGATTGCAGTGGTCTTCTAGGACAGGATCCAAGTGGCCGCCTTGACAGGTTTTACTGTACAAGTATTCGCATGGTTTTACATGCTACCCTGAGTACAAGATATGGTTTTACATGCTACCCTGAGTACAAGATATGGTTTTACATGCTACCCTGAGTACAAGATATGGTTTTACATGCTACCCTGAGTACAAGATATGGTTTTACATGCTACCCTGAGTACAAGATATGGTTTTACATGCTACCCTGAGTACAAGATATGGTTTTACATGCTACCCTGAGTACAAGATATGGTTTTACATGCTACCCTGAGTACAAGATATGGTTTTACATGCTACCCTGAGTACAAGATATGGTTTTACATGCTACCCTGAGTACAAGATATGGTTTTACATGCTACCCTGAGTACAAGATATGGTTTTACATGCTACCCTGAGTACAAGATATGGTTTTACATGCTACCCTGAGTACAAGATATGGTTTTACATGCTACCCTGAGTACAAGATATGGTTTTACATGCTACCCTGAGTACAAGATATGGTTTTACATGCTACCCTGAGTACAAGATATGGTTTTACATGCTACCCTGAGTACAAGATATGGTTTTACATGCTACCCTGAGTACAAGATATGGTTTTACATGCTACCCTGAGTACAAGATATGGTTTTACATGCTACCCTGAGTACAAGATATGGTTTTACATGCTACCCTGAGTACAAGATATGGTTTTACATGCTACCCTGAGTACAAGATATGGTTTTACATGCTACCCTGAGTACAAGATATGGTTTTACATGCTACCCTGAGTACAAGATATGGTTTTACATGCTACCCTGAGTACAAGATATGGTTTTACATGCTACCCTGAGTACAAGATATGGTTTTACATGCTACCCTGAGTACAAGATATGGTTTTACATGCTACCCTGAGTACAAGATATGGTTTTACATGCTACCCTGAGTACAAGATAATGGTTTTACATGCTACCCTGAGTACAAGAGTATGGTTTTACATGCTACCCTGAGTACAAGATATGGTTTTACATGCTACCCTGAGTACAAGATATGGTTTTACATGCTACCCTGAGTACAAGATATGGTTTTACATGCTACCCTGAGTACAAGATATGGTTTTACATGCTACCCTGAGTACAAGATATGGTTTTACATGCTACCCTGAGTACAAGATATGGTTTTACATGCTACCCTGAGTACAAGATAATTATGGTTTTACATGCTACCCTGAGTACAAGATATGGTTTTACATGCTACCCTGAGTACAAGATAATGGTTTTACATGCTACCCTGAGTACAAGATATGGTTTTACATGCTACCCTGAGTACAAGATATGGTTTTACAT